GCTAGTTTTTAACAGCAGACGCGCTCTAGGCTAGGCTCTACGCTCTAGGCTAGTTTTTAACAGCGGACGGCGCTCTAGGCTAGGTTTTAACAGCAGACGGCGCTCTCGGCTAGTTTTTAACAGCAGACGCGCTCTAGGCTAGGCTCTACGCTCTAGGCTAGTTTTTAACAGCGGACGGCGCTCTAGGCTAGGTTTTAACAGCAGACGGCGCTCTCGGCTAGTTTTTAACAGCAGACGCGCTCTAGGCTAGGCTCTACGCTCTAGGCTAGTTTTTAACAGCGGACGGCGCTCTAGGCTAGGTTTTAACAGCAGACGGCGCTCTCGGCTAGTTTTTAACAGCAGACGCGCTCTAGGCTAGGCTCTACGCTCTAGGCTAGTTTTTAACAGCGGACGGCGCTCTAGGCTAGGTTTTAACAGCAGACGGCGCTCTCGGCTAGTTTTTAACAGCAGACGCGCTCTAGGCTAGGCTCTACGCTCTAGGCTAGTTTTTAACAGCGGACGGCGCTCTAGGCTAGGTTTTAACAGCAGACGGCGCTCTCGGCTAGTTTTTAACAGCAGACGCGCTCTAGGCTAGGCTCTACGCTCTAGGCTAGTTTTTAACAGCGGACGGCGCTCTAGGCTAGGTTTTAACAGCAGACGGCGCTCTCGGCTAGTTTTTAACAGCAGACGCGCTCTAGGCTAGGCTCTACGCTCTAGGCTAGTTTTTAACAGCGGACGGCGCTCTAGGCTAGGTTTTAACAGCAGACGGCGCTCTAGGCTAGTTTTTAACAGCAGACGGCGCTCTAGGCTAGTTTTTAACCACGCACTCAAATGCTCACGATGAAGAGCGCTTGTACGTTCGGCTGAGTCATGTAACTGGTTAAATGTACTTGCATCTCGGCTTTTATGATGCGAGATTAATGTAAACAGCCCACTGTGAACATCCTTGTAATTTGCTTCAAGCTTTTCGAACTTTATGAATGATTATTTTAGGTTTAAATGGTGCGTGTATAAGGAACTGGAAGCATCAGAGTACAGCTATTTCTAAAGCACGCAACGCCATCTGCTGTTAAAAACTAAGCTCAGAATCGATTCAAGAGAGAATGGCGATGCATTAGCGATTTATCGTCGCCCCTAAAAACGGCCAGTAGGTGGCAGTAAATGTCATTCATGTAATAATGAGTCATTGATTTGATTCGTTCAAACATCTGATTCATTCAGAAATGAAGTAAACGGATCTCTGAGTGAATGCGCCATTGGATCATTGGTTCACCCGATTCGTTCAAAACAGCTTTAAACAATTAAAATAATATAGCCTATATATATATATATATATATATATATGCAATTTGCTGCCTTAATAACACCTGGTTTAACAGCACACATATTGGAAAGTAAGCGTGGTAATTTTAGCTGAGCATGAGTTTATGGATCTCCTGACAGATGCAGATTGCCGGCGCACACACACACACACACACACACACACACACACACACACAGATTGCTGTCGTG